CAAAAGTTAAGACATTTTTAGGAAAATAGAACCCGTAGTAAACGCATTCACACCTGTTCACATCACTGAAAACTGCATGTCCACGAGTAGGGGAAAAGTTGCACGTCGAGTCTGAGGTAGTTGCACATCAACGGCTAGGCAGTTGCACAAAACAGGAAGTAAATTGCACACAAAAAAGTTTGTCGAAACATAAGCATGCGAGATCTAGTTTCAAAGAGCATGTTGCGAGGATTCCAACGGTGAAAGCGGATCTCAATTTCGATATTCGATTCAAAAGTTATGACTTTTAAAAAAATGAAGTATAAATTTAATGCGTTCACACTTACACGTTGTTTAATATGGAAGGAAGTGAAAGGGACCAGGTGAAATCAGTTTTTGCATGACGTGAGGGATTTCCTAATTAGATGACATGAGAAAAAAAGTTTCTTACTTGGGGTGGATGCTCGGTAGCGCTAACCAGTCAATGGCCACCGGCTAGACGCGCTCTTCTATCCGGTTCTTATAATTCTAGAATTTACAAAGCCACGAAAAATTTGGGTGTCCTTCTATTCGGTTCTTACAATTCTAGAATTTACAAAGCCATGAAAAATTTGCGTGTCCTTCTATTCGGTTCTTGAAATTCTAGAATTTACAAAGCCACGAAAGATTTGCGTGTCAGAGGTCTCGCGGTACCGTTTGCGGGACGGGTTTTATGGTATGTTCCGTGCCGGATGCCTTGAGGTACCGCAAAACTTTCCTTTTTACAGGCAGTTATAAATGATTTTCACGAGATGCTCTGAACAACGATAGTCAAGTCACGTACGCGGGAGTACGGATGAGCACACGCCGGGGAGCAGACAAGTCTTGTCCACGATAGAGCACACAGAGTAGCGCAGCACGCTGCGGCTGCGCATGGCACACCTGCGAGGCTGGGCTCACCGTGCGGCTGTCGTGCGGGCGGCGGACTCGGCTGCAGTCACGCGCAGATCTTCTTCCTCTGCTCGTGCGGAAAGGCTAGAAAATTCGTGGCGGGCGCCGTGGCCGAGCCGGGTCGCGCGACCGTCCGTCCGAGCCGCGCGGCGCCTTGCAGGGCTGTTGGCTTCTCTCGTCCCAGCCGGTCGTCGTCGGCCGAGCATCCCGCCGCCGCGCACGGGGCCAAACAAAACTATTCTGAGATGCTACCGGCTATCGGCCAACTGCCTGCTGGTGGCGGCCGGGACTTGTTCCCGTGTCAGTGGCTAAAAAACAATACTTACATACGTAGTCCATTGTCCGGGTCAAGCTCACCACTGGAACTCCTACTGCTTGCTTAATGATGAAGCGCCAATGTTGTCTCTCTTTTTTTTTGACCTGGCTCATACCAAACTTAGAAGTTGCCTGAGATTTTGCACTCGAGAAAGTTTCTAAATGTATGACGTTTTGTCAGTTTAATTAATATTTAGGAACAGAGGTTATGCTGTACTATATTGCCACTGCATCAGCATTGCGCCGGAACCGATCCGTGGCGACGTGCAAGCCAGATAGTGATTCCATAGCTTACACGCGGTTAAATGGGCCATCAAGCATGTAAAAGTAGCAGCTTGAGCAGCCTGAAAGTTGATTTGTGGTGAGATATAGCCGGCTGAAGTTGACAGAAGCAGCATCCCGCTGGATCAGCGTTGACAGGAGCAACATCTCTCTTCATGTCAGCATACTCCGGAGTTGTGGCGTTGCGACGTCCAGGTCCAGCTCCGACGAGGCAGCGACCGCAGACCGCGGAAGATTGGGGCGGCCACCGGTCGCCATGCCTGGCCAATTTGGGCGGGCCGACCCATCCACGAGCGCCGCCTGCCAAGCGCGACTTGGGTTGGCTGGCGCCCCTTCACGCGCTGACTTGGCTGGTACGGTACGGGCCACGGAGCCTGCCGCGGGTCAATGCCGGTCCCGGATGGACGGGCGGTTACGGCCGTGCGCCTGTGCCCAAATTTTTGTGTTTTGACTCTTTTTTGAAACCTATTCAAAATTTGATCATAGTTTAATATTTTTTAAAAAATCTGACTATTTTGCTACCGCCAGAGTCCATGGCGGTAGGGTCTAACAGCTTATCGACAGGGACTTTGGCGGTAGGAAACATCGCTACCGCCAATCGGGCTAGCAGTAGGCTGTTATACCTTACCATCATGTTCCCTGACGATAGCAAAAGGGTCAGACCTCGATTTTTTTTCAAACTAGCGTCAAATCTCGAATACGTTTTAGAAAAGGATCAAAATACGAAATTTAGCCCCCGGCGACACCAGTACGTTGGAGTACGTACGTACTCCGCCGTCGGACCGCAACCGCGAGCATCCTAAGCTAGGACTAGGAGTACGAGCAATCACCATCACCATGCATGTACTATCACGTATGGACGGGACAAGAGTGCTGCGGCCTCGTGCGTGGTACACTTTGTCTGGTATTCACGGCTCCGGCATGGGCGTGGGTCGTGCTACATCACTACTTCACTGCACCATAGTTCTTGTTTTGCCTACCGGCGAAGGGTGCATACCGATGGAAGACGATCGGTTGGACTAAATGTGCGCATGTGTTTTACAAGAAATGACCGTGCGTGTGTATTGTATAAGCTCTGCATTTGTACTACATTTCTTATTTAAAGAAAACAGTCAGAGCAACTTCAACGGGTTGACCCAAACGGACGGTGCTTTTGTCCGTTTTTTGTCCGTTTGGATTGGCCAGACGGACACGGATGTCCGTTTTCGCGTTTAGGCGCACGTACGCCCAACGCTGGCCTGACCCATTTTGATGGAGTTAGAAAAAAAAACGCATGCATATTAAAAAAGAAAAACAACATTAATTAAATATAAAGCCGGCCACGAAGGCCAGTGAGAGTCCACGCGTCCACATTTGTATTTAAAAAAATAAAAACAACCTAAACTAGGAGGTAGTGCGCTGCTTTAGGCGTCGTTGTCGTCGTCCTCAGGGTCCGTGAGGTCGATGAGCGTCGGCGCTGGCCCGGTCCAGGAGAACGCTGTGTTTCAGAGCGCGGCCATGTCGGGCGCAGGCAGTGCTGACATGGGAAGTGCCGGCGTGGGGGGCTGTGCGGCCGCCTGTGCAGCGGCGGCCTGGCGCGCCTTCTCCTCGGCCTCGCGCTCCTCTTCCTCGGCCTCGCGCTGCTCCTCCTCCGCGGCCCGGCATAGACATGATTGCTTCGACATATGTTGGCAAAAACACCTCAGGAATTCTTTGGTGGTCCCACTCGGCATTACCTGTGATCAACCCAGAAACTAACAATGGAGATTAGTGACCAAACTTACAATTGGAAGCATGTTAAAATCTCGTGGGAGCCAGTTATGGCTCCATATTTAAGTGGCCTCACCATCTCCTATGCGCCTAATTAGGCCCTGGGTCATTGTGTCTCACCCTTCCACTATAACTCGCCAAATCTGTGATGGTGCACTGCCAAGTTCGACCTTCAGAAAGTCACACAACGAGAAGTATTTTGCCTTCAAAATTCTTGTGCTCAGTGAGTTTTGATCAGTAAGGATCCGCCACGCCTGTCTGCTAAGAGTGCAAGATTAAATAGCTCAACATCTCAGAATCCAAGTCCGCCACAAAACTTTGGTCTAGCCATCACACTCCACGAGACCCAACTACGTTTCCTCTAACCTTCTTTGCATTCCCATCAAAATTTACGAATCATGCTCACAAAGACCCCAGGGTAGCTTAAAACATGAAATGAAATATACTGGCACTGCCTGGGCTATGGATTTAATGAAGACATCTCTCCCTCCCACTGACATTTTTTTGATACATAGTCAACATTTTTTTTATATACACATTTGAAGGCGCCTGACGCAAGAGCACGCTAGATATCGCTATAAGCGACACATAGGGCTGGCCCTGCGTAACCGGCCTTTACCAGCCTTACGGTCCAGTTAGAAGGGTAGCCCACGAAAGTGCGTGCTTTTACCCTTGGACATGTGCGTGCGTGTTGGTTATCGAAAAAAAAGGGAAGTGCGTGCGAGAGCAGACGGGACGGGGACTCGAGCGGCGCCGCCACCGGCGCGCACCTGACCAGGTCGAGCCGACGAGGGCTCCTGGGCGTGAGCGGTGAGCAGCGGAGCACCCACCGGTGGATTGGAACTGGGGCAGCGCCGGTGCGCACCTACCCAGATCGAGGCGACGAGGGTTTCTGGCGTTGAGCGGCGGAGCACCCGTCGGGGGATTGGGGACTCGAACGGCGCCTGCGCGCACCTAACCAAGCCGAGTCGACGAGGGGTCCTGGGCATTGGGCCGAGCAGCGGCGGACTGGACATCGCTGCGAGCGGCGGCGATCATCGGAGCAGCTACGCTCAGGAGTCCTCTGTTTTCTGAAAAAAAAGGTTTAACTTTCTGTCCCTCATTTTTGCGAAATCCTAATTGATGATAACCCCCCAGTTCATGTCACTT